ATCCATCCATATATTTCCTGTTTAAAATTTTCACAGCGTTTAAACACTGAAAATGAGCTGTAATTGAATGGTTTATAAATTACTCAGTTGAAAGGACTGGTGAGAGAGAGAGAAAGAAAAAAACTGCTTCCTTATCGAAAAGATATACCAACTGGAAGTGGAAGTAATTATGCTTAGCAATTAATTTTTTGTGTTTTGTTCCTTTTTTTTTTTTTGAAAATTTTCAAAATCAGGGAATTGAAGAATAATCAAGAAACAGAAGAAGAAGTACCCCGTCTTTTCCATGTTTCAATCTTTCCAAACATTCATGGTTCTGTAAATACCGTTCAACAACAAGTAGTTGTTTGCTGCTGGCGTTTATTTGTTGGCAGGTAGTATAGAAATGGAAACAGAAAAACCGCATTATTCTAATTGAAAAAAGTTTACTAATGGAAAAATTGAAATTGCTAATGCATAAACTGTTTGCTAAAATTATGCAATATACTTGTATTAAATGTATGTTACCTTAATGTACACAAATAAATAAAATCATTTTGACACCTTAGATGACTGCCAAATATAGCACTTGCAGAAATCCATAAAATTAATTTTAATGAAAAATGTTCAAATAAAATATTAATTGGTAATAACTTTTGTAATTATATTTCTTTTTGCCAATTTCAGTTGATATTCAGCGAAGAATGTACAGAAGCAGAAGGGCGGAATTGGCATATGTCTCATTTTACCTGCAACGAATGCGGAATACAACTTGGTGGCCAAAGGTATATGAAATAAAGAAGCCAGTGTTCCAAAACTTTTTTAACGACTTTTCTCCTTCATTCCCGAAACCCTTAGCACGTCTTTTTTTAGTTCTCTTCTTTTTTTTTTTTTCGTCTTTTTTATCCGTTGAGGAAAGCACTGAAGTTAATACTGTATAATTTACAGATATATAGCGAAGAATGAGCGAATTTTATGTATACCATGTTATCATCGTAATTTTTCACTTGTCTGTAATACCTGCCGTAAAGACATTGTTGCTGAAAAACCCCATATTACTCAGGTTCGTGCTTTTCACTACCAAGCATTGCCTCTGTCATGCACGTGTTCTCCTGCTGAAATCGACAAAAAAGTTTGATGTAATTATTTGTAAACTTTTAGGGTGAAACACATTGGCATGCAGATGAACGCTGTTTTTGCTGTTGTGAATGTAACAAAAATCTCCTGGGTAAACGTTATTCTTTCAAAGATGGTCGCTTATACTGTGGTACAGAAATGTGTGCTCGACGAAAGTCTCCAAAAGTAAGACCACAAAGAGCCGTAAAGGAAACTGGAAATTTAATGTAGGATCAAGTTAGCCAATTGATAACCTTGACTGCTTTTCAGGTATCGTTCAGCACAAAGGTTAGTTATGAGTCGGACAGAAAACGAACATTTGTGCCGCGTCCCCCAACCAGAAATCCACCGTCTCCACCATCTGAAAATATTTATGAGACAGTTTTGCCGTCATCATCTAGGGATTGCGTAGATCTTGAATTTCCAAGAGAGTAAGTAGACCGCCACCTTCAAGCACAAAGACTGCTTAATGAGAAAAAAAAACAAAAAAAAAAAGAACCGTCACTGTTGCCTCCACAAATACAGTGCTTGAAACATGCATTTCGATCAGAAAGAAGATCATTTCATAATTGTAGTGAAATTATCCACGAGCGGCGGTCTCATAGCGCTGACGTCCGACACCACAGTGACGACGAGGATGATTACCCCAAAGAATGCACTCGGAAAGGGAACTTGAAAAGAAAACCACAGAACTTTTATTCAAAGATGCCTCCATCACCAACACATAGGTGGAATAGTCAGAGATGCAGGTAATCTTCAGGATTCAAATTAGGGACGGGCTATTTACTGGCATACGTATATCTTACGAAATACAGCCTATTTACTTTTAACTATTAATCAAAATACTTTATAAATAGAGAATGTTAATGGATGCCTCTTTCAGTTCATGCAGCTCTTCAGAAAGTGACGCTGACGACATTTACCTAACAAATTATTTGGCAGCTTCACTGCCTCGCTATGATGTGTACCAGGTAACTTTGCATTTGCTTACTACAGAGCTTGACTACAGTAGTTTTTTGGAATTTAACAAATCATTGTTATGCGTCATGGACAATCTAATCAACCAAAAATTTTATAAGAACAATCCAAAATTTGTCTTGTCAGAGTGTGTTTCTAGAACTGTCTTTTAAAACTAAATCATATTGGCGGTTAAGCACTCGAATACTATTTTCAAACAGCAAATTGCTGCTTTTTTTTTTGGATACTTGTCATAAGACAGCCACTTGGCTCATTAAAAAATTTTTTTTTCCAGGCTCAAACAAAACAGAAAACCTGTCGAAAACCAATTGTCAGCCGAGCCCGCACGGCTAAAAATAAATCATCTACAAACTGTATTGTTTCCTGATTACTTCTACTGTTATGGTCACTATTATTACAGTTATTATTATAATTAATATTACCACTATTAATATCTTTTTCAGTCCTATAATCTATGGATTCTATCGCTTTACAGTGTGATATGAACAACACTATGTATCAAATTTAAATCTGCTGATGTAAAATAAAATATTAGTCTATTTTCTTCCCCTTCATCCATCTTCTTCTCTCTTCTTTCCCTTCTCTCGAAGCTTCTTTCGATTAATTTCCACCTAATAGCATAACTCAAAAACCAGAATCAATTCCACTGTATCTTGTAGCCCCTTCTTTCTTTATTCTTTTTGGTGGAAGAATGAAGCTTTAATAAAAACTTGACTTACGGTATGCATCATTCTCATACATTCACTGGTACTACCGGAAATCAGACCCTAGCAAATGTAGTAACCGAAGTCCAGTATAAAAACGAGAAGCTCCCAACAATTTTTCAAACAGATCTGAAAACTGCAACAGCAGAATACCTTGCCGAAAATTACGGAGTATCCGGACAAAGTGATCTGAAGAAAAAGCCAATAAATACTAGCATTGCCACGCAAGAAAACACAAGGTAGAAACAGACGTGCATCATCCCATAGCTAGTCAGCAGAAAAATGTACGCGGTCCAAGAACTCCAAACTACTAGCAGAGCGGAGACTTCTGACAGTCAGCCTCGATGGCAAGCTGCTTGCAAGAAACAAAAAACAAAATCACAAACTGAGGATCCATCATAAAATCAAAGGTGCTAAGCATGGCAGAAACCTTAACCACCCTCAGCACAAACCGGTTCAACAAGAATACATCAAGTAATAGCGAAAAACAATAACAAAAAAAAATTGAAAAATGGAGTACGAAAGCGGAACTGTTTTTCAGTCCTAAATCTTTCAAGTATTATAGGTTACAACTATGGCCGACAACCACATATTTGAGACATCCTGACAACTCAGTAACAATTTACTCCCTGAACTAAAGAACAGATAAATACATACAATAATGAAATGTTTCAAAAACAATCTTACATAAAATGAGTATAACCAAACATAAATACCAAAAAAAGGGAGAAACAAAAAATAGAAGGGGCTATGTCCCCGTTTACACTCGCCTGCAGGTACAACGGAGTTAGCATCAATACCCTGCCAAACACTTTTGAACAGCCCGAAAGCAAACTTATGTTTAAATAATTCAAAAGCTGATTTGATCACAATGTTTTCTGTAAGACAATAAGGAAAAGTCATTCTTGTCCATCAAATGCTTATTACAATGAAGAAAGACTGCGAGATATCACAGGAAGATGACGCCTTAAAAAATACCAATACTACACAATCAAAAAGAAGAAACCCCACCAAAACAAAACAAATTACACGGCTTAGCATGATGAAGGCATCGATCCAGCAGAAGGCAAAAAGTACCAAAGCAATATGCAAGCAAAAAAAAATTTGAAAAAGTATACGAAAATCCACAAATCCCAATAAACAGTATAACCCTAAAAAAGCGAAGTACCTCTGTAACACAAAAATTTTAATTTGAGCTATTCATAAAGAAATTTAGAAAAGAATGCAAAGTAAAAATACGTCTTTAATTACTACGGCAACGAGATAATCATTTCAGAAAATATTTTAAAACGTAAGGTTAAATTCTGACGTCATAACAAGTGAAATTTCCTCCCTCCCCAAAAAGAACTTTTCCATGTTCACCTCTGAACGTTTTTTATTTTTAATTTCAATGAATTTACCTGTAAAGTCTTCACTTATTACAATAAACAATAATAACTCTGTCACAAGAAATTATTGGCGAATCTTCATCAACAACAAGGCTTCATATCCTTTAAATGCCGAAATCAAAGCCTGTTCTACCTAAAGCAAAATATTAGACTAATATATGATGTACTCCCATCCCCATTACCGCTTATAGTCGAATGGACTTATAAGTGTTTTGATTAGTCTAAAAATAAAGCACATAGAAGGTAAAATGCGTAAAAAAAGACAAAGCTTGAGTAGAATAAGCAAGTTAACTATAAAAATTGGTAGACGAGTAACTAAAAGTAAAAAAAAATATTAAAAAATCCTGACTATTTAAAAACAGACCTGAGAATCCGTCCGTGAACTTGGTATGCACTCAATAAGTAAACCATACAGGTTAACAAGTTCGGAATAAAAATCTGCACTAATAGGATCGGAACGTTGAGTGATCCCATCATTCAAAGTACGAATTGCTCCAAGAACACTAATCATTTCAATCACACGTTCCTGAGGAAGCCTCAAGTGTCCAGCACTCTGCTCATCCCTAACAAAGTTTTGTACAACCTAAAAAACAGCAGCTGAAGTCGTTAGAAGCATTAAACGAGTCGTTACCGTACAAAGGGAAATATAGAGCGTATCAATCAAAAATTAATGCCTTCCAAACAGTGTCACGCTTTAGTTTAAAGCGTGTCACTTGATGACAAATTCTAAACTGTATTTTGTTTAACCAGAATAAGATTTTTATACATCTCAAAGCACGAATGTAAAAACTGATTTTGAACAGCATTGGCCCTCTTTTCAAAGCAACTCTTACTGAAATTAGATTGACGTCGCATCTTAACTGCCAATTTTCTGACGGCATTTCTCTCAAGAGTCAGCTTAATCCAGTCTAAAGACTACTCGTACAGAAAAATCAGTGAAGCCCAAAGGCTGCAGAGACTATAACTCAACTACATAAAGCATTTTAAACTAATCTCATAATATGATAATCAGAATTCAAGTCGATATTAAACAGCATTTGTACAACCGCACATCCTCCCTCGCAAAAAAATTATACTGTCCCCCCAGAAAAATCATTAAAAAAAGATTTAGAAAAGTAAACTATAGAAAAAACCTGACAAACAAATAGCAGAAACTTCTCCGAATCTGAAGGAACTTACTGTAGTCACTTGTTTAGGAAAAATCGGCACTTCAAAACTGCAGTGTAGACATTTAGAGGTAAGAAATAATTATTTTAGCTGATAAACTCATCCCCCACTTTTTTTGACTTTGTAAGTGGAACTAAATAGGCTGATAAACTTCTGCAATTTGTTAATAGAAAAATTTTTTAGTTCACTCAGTGCAAGTCTAAGATAAAAAAGAGCAAGAACTGCGTTCCATTAATTTTGAGAGCAAGACTAGATACTACGAAACGAGTCAAAAAAAAGAACAGTATAAACCTCTACCTGTTTACACCTAGAGAGTAAAGAATTGATTGCTGATAACCCAAGATCTGAAGGTTCCTCGACAGCCTTTTTCCCGTGAGTTTCTCTACTTGTCCCATCACTTTTACTGCCTTGTGAAGGACCACTCAATCCGTGGCCAACAACCACTAAAAGAGACGTTCAAAGGGAATTACTGCTCTAAAAGTCCAAAATGCAATTGACAATAACTACGGGCAAGCAAAGATGATTAAAAAAAGATACTAGAGTAGAAACTGTTTCGTTTTGAAAAATGATAATTAACTTGAATTTGAAACACCAAAATAATGACGTTAACAATAAGGAGAAACAACGAAATGAAATGGTAAAAATGATACCAGACGGAGTCTTAACGGTAGTATCTTCTTTCTGACTCATTGACAAAAGAGCGTCAAAGCAGACTCTAGAAAGCTCCGTCCGTTGCATATAAGATTCTAAAGCTAGAAAAAAATAAAAAGTGAAAGAAGTAAGAAAAAACAAGAACATCTCTGAAGGAGAAACAAAAAAAAACAACCAAGTAAAAAGTCACATAGCTTTAGAGTAAGAAAGAGCTTTCATAGAACAGCTCGATGCAATAAACATTTAAAATATTAATAACTGATACAACCAGAAATTTCTAGCTCCACTGTCACTATTATGTAACACTGTTGTGAGGATATGTTCAAAAATAAAAAGCAGGTTGTCGAAGAGGGAAATAAAGACAGAACTTGTACTTAATATATGACTGCATTAAAGTTGCTCCAATCTTAAATCAATTATTAAAAAACTTCTGAACTATGTGACTTCGAACGGCAAACAAAGCTAAAAAATCGTCTAAAAGTCAAGAACTAAAAACTTTGAAAAAATCTTTAAGAGCGTACAGTATCAGAAAATTAAAGAAGCAACAAGTCTTCAAGTTCTTCACCACATGCAAAAACAAAAAATACTCCTCACCTAAAACGTCACGAGGATCCAAGGTGCTAATAGAACCACGGTTCAGCAGATCAATAATATTTTGAACAAATTCTTTAGGAAATTGACTAACGTTAGGTAAAACCTGCAAACTTCTCATCTATGGTCAATATTGTGAAACAAAGCTAAATGTGATTTGAAATTTTCAGATTTGATCTAACAGATGCGGTACCTCTGATCTGATCAGCTCGATAAGTTGACAGTCTATGAACTCATGCCGCCGACGCTCGTCAGCGTTTAAAGGGACTGGAGATCGACTGTAATGAGACGATTTTAAGCATGGAAAAAATAGTGAAACCACAGAACTTCGTTCTTTAGAGACATCAGACTAAAAAGTTACAGAAAGCTCGAAAGGAAATTTTTGAGGTAGGCAAAGAAAGAATTCTAATGAAAATAAGAGAGTAAAAAAGGCCCAAAAACTTACGATGTGTTGAAAAGAAACGAGTAGAGCGTATCTGCTAACAACGGCCATAACTCTCGAAACAAAGCAGCTGCAAAAAAAAAAAGATAAATGCTTCAGCAAACGATAAAAGTTTAAAGAAAATTGATCAAATTTACCTATAATTATTTGAAATATATAAAATAATGAAATAAAGTTATAACTAAGCAACCTCTCGGCAGTTTGGTATCGGTTTAACCAACAGCAATTTTAAGATTTGAAATTAAATCTGGTATGCATATTTAGTTTTACGTTGAATTTACCATGCTGCCTCGCAATTGGTAATCCTAGGCGTAATGCAGTAATAAACGCGGATACAGCAGCTTTCCACGTTGTCCGAGAAAAGCAATTGTATTTTAGTTTCATAGGAACCGCAAGCGCCTAAATAAAGACAAAGTTGCGAAAGCAATTCCGTACTATTCGTGTCATTTTCTTAAAAATAGCGAAAAAAACAAAAGAAATAATAAAAATGAAAAGCAGGATTAATTACTTTTACAATATCCACAAATACTGTAGCCTGAACAATTTCGTGATAATGAGCTGTATATGCATAAAATTCGACACCCGTACGCAAACAAAGTTCTGCAAATGGGACAACATTCTGCACCCACCACTGAGTCTGAAAACAAATTTCTTTACAACGAAAAAATGACTTATCAGATGACTTATCAGAAATTATCCAGATTCACTTTATTCTTAAAAGCACTGCTAAAAATATATGAAAAACACCGCTTATGAAAATCATACGTCCTTGATCTTGCCCCCTAGAAAATTGGGATAAGGCACTTGAACGGCAAGAATTGAGAAGTCAAGCAGTAAGCGTATTAAGTCGGGAAGTGCTTGACGAAGTGAAGAGCCCGTATCCACTAGTTCCTTAAAGCAAATTGATAAGTAATCAACATCAGTAACAATAAAGGCTTCTTAAGCCAGCGATTGATCGTAAATTCAGTGCACAAAAAGATCGAGACGTTTCAAGAAAATGAGATGAAGAGGAAAATCAGAACTATCCGCAGGTAGAGGAAACAGACGAGTATTTTGTTTTAAAGCACTAACCCTATAAGTGATTTTAATGCACTGCATAACCGCCTCTTGGGTCGGACTAATATCTCCTGTTGAAATCACAAATGGAGCTTGGTCCGTACAAAAGGGAGCTCCGATAACGCTCTAAAACACGTTTGGGAAGCGAAGCTTAAAGAACAGATGCATGGATGAGAAAAAACTACTGACACACTGTCTTCATAACTTACAGTTTTTTTATAATTTGACAATGAACTTATTGTACTGTAACACCCCTTTACAATGTCGCTTCAAAAAAGAATTACTATTACAGAGACAAGTAAAGAGATACCTTTAATACAGAAGGTAATCCATCTTCCTTTAACTCACTAACATTGATCCGTTTTTTAACATGCTCAAAGAGCGGTCCAAAGATTTGTAACAACGTTGTTAGGTGGGCTGGACCTGGGACATAGTATGGAGGGATTGCTGTCTCTCTAAAAAATTTTTTCAATCCACCATAGGGCTTTTTTAGCACAACAATCAGAATGAATTTTGTTATTTTAAGCGATATTACTGATCGCTATTAGCCAAATTAAAACTTACTTGGCGGATTCCTGAGATGTCTCTTCAAATTCAAAATGAGTTGACCAAGGCGCGGTAAGCATTTGCGCAATTCGCATCCATGTCTATAATAAACAAATGAGCTGTAAACAAACAGATGTAAGAAGTTTTGCAAAACATTTCATTCATTTTTAGTTTTTTCAACATGAAGCACGAGAGTCGTTAAAATCTCTTCAAACAATACAACTCTATCCTAAAGTTTTTTGAAGTATTTTGTGAAGGATTTAGTTTTATAACGCTCAGCCGTGGGAAACCTTGAAGCAAAGTTTCATCATAATAAGTCCTAAAAAATACATATTAACTTTACTACATGCAAAACCTATTTAAAAAAAGAACTTCTAAACCTTTATCTGTCCCGCTCTCTCAACTCCAGAAAAACTAGGAAAAATTCAATAGACAAAATAACAATAAGAAATAAAAAATCAAAAATATGAGTTCCAGTGCTTCAGCATTACCCAAATGAACATTAATCCAAAAGCAAAAAACGAACCTGCCAGGATTCTAACCATAAACCCTCTGGTAATGTCGGTGGCTCCTCTTGCACGTTCGCGGTAGCACTGGAAATTCAAAGTGCTCGAGAGAATAACGTTTTAGTGTTAGCTTGTGATAGGTAAATAAAAAAATTGATTTACATATCTGCAAAGTTGGCTTTTCACAAAAGTCAGAGTAAAACTTTAGGATGCACTAACTTAGTTGATCGTTCCAGAGCAGGTACACGACCAAGAAGAACCTCCTGGAATAAAGCAAAGCAAATCATAATAGTCGGCATTAAGCAAATATGCAAAAGCAATATAAACCTGAAAACTTTTCAGTCCCGCAAGCGACATTTCTGGGTTACCAGATAGAGCTAGATATTCAATATACTGTAGCAAAGTGGACCACGCAGCAGCAAAATCGCCTTTAATTAGGTTCCAGTAGAAAAACATTGATTCGGAGATAGACTTTGCTGTCTTCCAAAAAAAGAAAAGAACTTTAAGAGTGAAACTATTAAGAAAGCCTACCAAAAGCGATTAATAAGTTTCGCTGCGTGTTGAAAATTTTGACAATGCCTCCAAGAGTCTGTACAGAGGTTTCAGCCCACTGTTTATATTCAGTATCTCGTGAATGGTGAATAAGAATATTTGATGCTCCAAGAGCAGAGCTATCAGAACGAACGGTGGAGGCACTTCGAGTTAAAGCTCGAACTTTATCTAACATCGGAAAAAGAATCTAAAAAAAATTTAACTCAAGCCTCTTTTTAACAGTTTTCCTCCACACTCACCTTCCACAGCATATGCTTCCATGTGTTCGGTTTCAGAGAACGTCCATGGGCACTAATGGTTTGCAAAAGAGTCTGGCAAGCGCTTTTTCTCACAGGAGGACGCGAATCAACACAGAGCTCGGACAAACAGTTATACAATACTAGCCATATTGTTTCACTCTCATTTTCGGTTAGTTTTGAGCTCTTACGATAAATATAATCTGATATGGTCCACTAAAAAGGTTTTTTTTAAATAAACGCTTGTAAATTAAACAACAGTGGAACAAAAAATGGAACGATGACGAATTAAAGACTGCTAAAATCAACTATCAGATAAAAACAACGAAAGAAATTAAAAGTGATAACCACCAACCAATTGACCTAGTGCAGAAAGCGATATATTAAGTTCACGCTGTTGTGCACCATATTTAGCGTCAGTTTCCACCAACATCTGAATACACTCCAGAGGGAGTAAATCCAGAAAATCTGTTACCATCAAAGCCACTGCTTCATAACTTTGCT